GACCCTCTAGCCAATTCGCCACCCACCGGACTGTGCAGTCATCCAAGTCACAGCCTCTTAACTTGTTCACCAGTATAGGGTGGGATACCGTATCGAAGGCCTTCCTGAAGTCTAAGTAAATGACGTCAACCCCTACTCCTGTAGTTTCATAGTTTTAGGGTCGGAAGGGACCTAATAGATCTTCTAGCCCGACCCCCCCTCCAGGGCGGGAGAACAACAAAAGAACCCTAAACAAAAAACGGGACTCAAATGAGTCCAGCCAGGTAGGTATCCAGCCTCTTCTTAAAGATCCCCAGGGTAGGGGCCTGGATTAGTCACTAGATTAGATTAGAGACTAGATTAGTCAGGCATGATCTACCTGCTACGAACCCATGCTGGTTTCCCCTCAGCATAATTTTTCCTGCTGGGCTCTCGCAAATGTGAGCCTTGATAATTTTTTCAAAGACTTTGCCTAGGATGGAGGCGAGACTGACTGGCCTGTAGTTGCCTGGGTCCTCCTTCCTCCCCTTCTTGAAAATGGGGACCACACTGGCCCTTTTCCAGTCCTCCAGGACCTGGCCCGTGCACCATGAGTGTTCAAATAATCCCGCCAGTGGCTGCATTATGACGTCAGCCAGTGCCTTCAGTACCCTCGAATGGAGCTCATCCGGGCCTGCCGACTTAAACGCATCCAGTTCCAGTTGTAGATGCGTTTAAGTTCCAGACTTAAACGCATCTACAATCCCAGTGAGAGCCTCGTCTTGCCCCTCGCTTAGGAACACTGAGGCAAAGAAATCATTGAGGAGTTCAGCCTTGTCCTCCCTGCCCGTCACCAATTGCTTATGCCCATTTAGCAGAGGTCCTATTCCAGCCTGGGCCTTCCTTTTACTCCCTTTTACTTTTTACTTCCTTTTACTTTTTGAAAGAGCTTCGCCTGGGATTCCACAATGACTTCAGCCAGCTCTTTCAGCACTCTCAGATTAAATTAATCTGAACCTGCTGATTTACGTACGTACAATTTCTTTGACTGATCACACGTGAGTTCTACAGAAATAGTAGGCAGATGGTCATTTGAACCCTGCTCATTCTGTCCCCTAGCTGGCGTGATTTTCCCCTTGGCCTTTGTGGAAGACCAAAGAAAAGTAGTCATTTAGTTCAGTTTTCTCTTGAGTGCCAGT